GAGAGAGTATGATGCTAAAACCATTATTTTCCAACAAATCCCAACATTTCCAAATCTTCTTCAGATTGTCTTCAACTTCTTTGTTGCCCAAACTAAGCCAATTACTCTTCAATAATTCTTCCAAAATAATAATCCAAGAATTCCGAAACTGCCCTTGGATAAAATCCCAACCTCTAGCAAATAAATATCTCATAAGCACAATTAAACCACAATCCTCAAGGTTACAAAAAACTACATTGCCAACTTTCTTCTTAAGAATCAACCCAAAAGATTGAAACCCGTCAATTCCTTTTTTAATGAGAGTATTCCAAAAATACCCTGAAGGTAAATCCTTAAAAAATTAAGAATAAACCCTCCAAATTCCACATCAAAGGCAAAAAAAACCAATGATAATCGGGATGGACCGATTAGCTTTAAAATTTTGGTAAAACCAAAGGGATTGTAAGGTCCCAAAGTGGTTGTTTTTATGAAAACAAGGGAAACAACCAACCCAATTGTGGTACAGTCTAAGGTTAACGTACCCAATCCAGTGTATTGCCGGGTAAATATCCCACCACTTGCTAATCGAACTAGCAGTGGCACCCACTAAAGTGGAGATTCCTAGTTGCCTAGGAAGAAATTTCCAACTAACGGGGATCAAACCCATTTGCTTTAAAAAATTGACCACTTCAAAGGAAAAGATTCCAATGAAATCTGGGATAAACCAGACAGCAATAAGCAAAAAAGGATCCATAAAGCTCCAAGTGTGGTTGTTTTTATGGTAACAAAGGAAACAACCAACCTGTAAGTGGTACAGTCTAAGGTTAACGTACCCAATCCCGTGTATTGCCGGGTGAATATCCCACCACTTGCTAATCGAACTAGCAGTGGCACCCACATAAGTGGAGAATCCTAGTTGCCTAGGATAAAAGCACCTACTAATGGGGATCAAACCCAAATGCAATAAGAAATAATCCACTTCAAAGGAAAAAGATCCAATGAAATCCGGGATGCACCGGATAGCAGTAGCCTTATACTTATGCCAAAAAATCCTAAAGTGGTTGTTTTTATGGATACAAGGGAAACAACCAACCCATTTGTGGTACAGTTTAAGGAAAACGTACCCAATCCCTGGTATTGACGGGTAATTATCCCACCACTTGCTAATCGAACTAGCAGTGGCACCCACCAAAGTGGAGACTCCAAGTTGCCAAGGAGGAAAACAACTTAAAATGGGGATGAAACCCATTTGCATAATAAAAACCACTTCTAAAGGAACAATCCTCAAGAAAATCGGGATAAAACCGATAAGCAAAACAATTTTTAAAGGAAAATTGTTAAACCCAAGACCGTCAATTCCTTTGATCATTAAAAAATCATGATTTTTCTTTCCCACAGGAACACCCCACTTTGTTTTAACATCATTATCAAACCCCAAAAATTCACCCTTAAGACCAATAAGTTTGAGGCGGATTTCTTCAAAAATGTTCAAAGCAATTTTCATCTCATCAGTCTTTCCTTTTCTGAAAAGTCTGCAATTTCTTTCTCTCCAAATAAAATAAACAGCGGCAGCAAAAGCAATCTTCATAATAAAGATTTGAATGCTTTTCCCTTTAAACAAGACTTGAAGTTCTTCAATTAACTCTTTCCATCCATGAGAATTGCTTCTAATCCCCACTTTATCCTTCACAACTTTCCAGACAAGTGAAGAATAATTGCATTCAAAGAACAAGTGGCTATGCGAATCCGGCTGTATGTTGCATAAAGAACATTTGAGATTCTTATTTTTGTCCCAAATCTCATTCTGTCTTGAGTCGTCAGTCTCTCTTGAATAGCCAACCAAAGGATAAAGCTGAGTCTAGGGATGCATTGCTTGAACCAAACAATATGGACCCACGGAACCTTTTGATCATAATTGCTTAAATCTTTCCAGACATGTTGAATATCAAACTCCACCTTTTGACCATTCCTTTCCCTCCAAAGAACTTTATCAGCAACCAAGGGATCAAGTTTCGGCAATTGATAATCATTCAATTGAGGGATTATCAAAAGCCATTCAGCAGGCCAAAACCAAGAAATATCAGATATAACATCTTTAACTTTGTCTGATATTCTGAATCCAGCACTAGCAATCTCCCTAGGTGAAAGGACATAAGAAAGAGCTCCAAGAGAATGCCAGTCGTCATACCACATAAAAGTGTTGGCTCCATTCCCCACCTTAGAACAAAAATGAATTCGGAAATAAGGTCTCAATCTAATCAAATTTCTCCAACTCCAGCTCATATCTTGCTTTTCTTGGACATCCCAAAAACATCTCCCTTTAAGAACATTGGTATTGATCCATTTAACCCAAATAGAATCATAATTAGAAAGGATCATCCAAATTCTCTTAGAAAGAATCGCTTTATTCCAAGCTCTAAGATTTCTCAAACCCAAACCTCCATGCTCCAATGGTTTACAAATTGAGGACCAAGCAACTTTAGCCCTTCCTTTCTTAGACTCATCACAGTCCCAAAGGAAATTCTTCATCAACTTCTCAATTTCCTTTGTGGTAGCCGCTGGGATAAGAAGACAAGATGCCCAATACACTGGAAGAGAAAAAAGAACTGAAGATATAAGCTGCAATCTTCCAGCGTAAGAGAGAAATTTGTTTCTCCAATCACCAAGTCTGCATCTAACTTTATCAACAAGACCTTTGCAATCACGAATAAATAATCTTGTTGAAATTAGAGGAATTCCTAGGTATCGCATTGGTAATTTTCCTTCAACAAAAGGAAGAGTGTCCAAAATTTTACTCTTCACATTAGCTTTGACACTACCGAAAAAAATGTGGCTTTTAGAAAAATTAGGATGAAGACCGGCCACTCCAGCGAATTCTTCAAGGCTCTCTTTTATCACTCTAACCGAAGCCGAATTGCCGTAACAAAAAATCATCAAATCGTCGGCAAAACACAGATGTGTGAGCTTGATCTTCTTGCATTTCCAATGGAACTTGAATAGAGGCTCACATATTATTCGTCTTTGAAGAATCAAATTAAAAACCTCCATAACCAATGTAAAAAGATAGGGAGATAAAGGACATCCCTGGCGAAGACCTCTCTTTCCTTCAAAATAACCGTGGAAAGACCCATTTATGTTGATCATGTACGAAGGAGAAGAAACGCATTGCATGATCCACTTTATCATAGCCGGGTGGAATCCAAAAAGAAAAAGGATATCCTGTAAAAAAGACCAGCTTACAGTATCATAAGCTTTTTGGATGTCCACCTTTAGAGCACATCTAGAAAAACCTCGAGCTCTATGGTATCCCCTGACGAGTTCTTGCGAGAGAAGAATGTTGTCAGTGATTGATCTGCCATGAATAAACGCTGACTGATTTTCAGCAACAATAGAACCCAAATGATTTCTTATTCGAGCCACAATAACTTTGCTTATGCATTTATATATAACCGAACAGCAGGAGATAGGTCTAAAGTCACTAACTTTTCCAGGAGAGTCAACTTTAGGAATTAAAGCAATGACAGTAGCGTTAACTTCTTTGAGGATTTTCCCATTGGCAAAAAATTCCTTGACAGCAAGACAGAAATCCTCCTCAACAATCGACCACATAGATTTAAAAAATTTGGTAGAAAAACCATCAGGTCCAGGAGATTTATCATCCTCAATATCAAAAAGAGCAGATTTAATTTCCTCATTTGTCACAATTTTGATCATCTCAGCAGCATCCACAAGATCTAATTTTTTAAAAAATAAAGAACTCGGCAAATGTATATCAGAACAGGGAACTTCAGTGCCGAGAAATTCTTTGAAATAATCCACGAATTCTTTATAAACTGCCTCACCCTCCAGCCATTCCCCTCTTCTGTTCATGATTGCTTCGATTCTGTTTTTGTGAGATCTTCCCTTAACAATTCTGTGAAAAAATTTCGAATTGCTGTCTCCTTCTTTAAGCCAGTGGATTTTAGCTTTTTGTCTTAAAAAATTTTCCTCTTTCTCGCAATCTTTTTTGAATTCTCCAAGAAAAATAGCTTCTAATTCACGAAGTTGGACATTGAAAGGATCCGCATCAAGATCAGATTGAACAGCTTCCAATTCTTTTCGGAGATGAATAACATTTTCCGAGAAATGTCCCTGATTTTTTAACAATTTGCGAATGGGTTTCTTGAGATTTTTGAGTTTTTGAATTAAACAAAACATTTTGATTCCCTGAACTTCAACTTTCCATTGCTTTTCCACCAAAATTTTCAGCTCCGGGTTCAAAGTAAGCACATTAGGGAATTTGAAAGGGAGGACTTTAAAATTGATCTTCAATGGTAATTTGATTACAATTGGGCTGTGATCTGAAATTCCATACGGGAGAAAAGAAGCATAAATTGAAGGGAACTCATCTAACAACCTGCTGTTACCCATAACACGATCAAGCTTTTTCAAAATTCCATCAATACCCTTCGGTTTTTGGTTCCAAGTGAAGTTCAACCCGTTGCTGTTGATGTCTTGGATTTCTATGGAATTGATGCACTCAATGAATTCCACCATGCCTTTAGAATATCTTGAGGATCCCATAGTACTCTCGTTGAGATTAAGAGTGACATTAAAATCTCCTCCAACTAGCCAAGGATCGTTCTTAACTAACCCTTTATGATGAACTAAGGAAGCCCATAAAGCCCTCCTGTCCATATATTTATTAGCTGCATAAACGATAGAACAGAAAACATACTTATTATTATGGGGAAAAGAAACTTTATAATGAAAAACTTGATCATTGTGATCAATCAAGTTGACATTAAAAAGGTTAGGATTCCATCCAATAATAATACGAGACGTATGACCCGTTCCTTTATTAGCAATCCACTTCCAAGATCTAAAGATCTTATCACAATTCACTTTAAGTTTATTAAAATTAACTTGAGGTTCCAAAATAGCAAGAAGGCTCAAATTATTTGAATCCATCAGCTTTCTTATCTCTTTTTGTTTAGGGGAGAAATTAAAGCCCCTAACATTCCAAATCCCGAAGCTAATCGTCATTGGGAAGGTGATTCCATGTTGGTATCTGTCAAAGGGATACCTCCTATCACCTCCATTTGATCCACTGAATCCAAGTAAGCTAAATCAGCCTCATCAACTCCCTTCTTCGCAAAAACAAAAGGATTCTCTTCTTCCAAATTATTGAGAACATCAAATTTATTGTTAGTTGAAAAATTAAAAGGGCTGTTAGACTTCAGAGAATGAGGCTTAGAATCAAAATTCGAGCTAATTTTGAAGTCCAGCCCAGATTTCGAAACATATTTCTGTCCAACAACTTTAATTTTTCCTCTGTCTTCAGATTTTACTTCTTCCTCAATTTTTCCACTGCCATGAGAAAAGCCTGCCACATCCTTTTTTCCCATAAAATTCGCAGCATTATTCTCCCTCTTATTCAACAAATAATCATTATTACTTGTCTGCCCCTGCTCGAAATTTCTGCTATAAAAACTTCCCTTCATAATTTGATTTTTCCCATTATACCCCTGTGAACCTTTTCCTTTATTCCATTGATTTCCCTCAGCCGTCATAACTGATTTAACACTTTTATTCCCTTTTTGCCCCTGCAAGCTAGCTTTAGTTCCGTTTTCTATTTTTTCCCCTCCATAACTTTTCCCTTTTTGCCCTTGATTCGCATTTTGCTTTTTATTCTTCATTTCTTCCTTTGAATTTTCTCCCATATTATTTCCCTTATTTCTTTTAACAACAGTTTGAAATCCATCTTGATCTTCCTGCACAGATTTTGTACTAGCAATAAGAACTTCCATAAGATCAATTTTTTTCTCCTCTTTATTCTCTTCGCCAACTTTTGAAGTCTTAAGAGAATTGGATTCCTTAGCTAAAATAATTCCACAGGTAGCATCTCTATGACCATAAACCTTACAATGGGAACATTTTGATGGATTCCAGGCGTATTCAATTTTGCATTTAGAAGAAATTCTTTCACCAGTTACAAGATCCGAGGAGAATACTTCTAACTCTTTGAGCCATTCATTAGCAGCCGACATTTCGATTAAAATTCTCATAAATGCTGGCCTTCCCCAATGTTCTTGACACATCTTGGCAGTATGAGCATCCACATCAAGAGGTTTTCCAATTTCCCAAGCAATATGACTAAGCCCAGTTCCATTCCAATATTCCAAGGGAACATTATAGATTTTTACCCAAACCGGAACCTTGTCATGTTGATCTCTCGCTGAACTAATTCCAGTTGTCCATCTTCTCACTATGAGGGCACTATCAAAAATCATCCATACTCCTCCTTCGAGAACATTTAGCATACCTTGTTCTGAACTGAATCTAAAGAAATAGATACCTTCTTCATTTACCATAACCTCTTCCAAGCCATATCTCTTCCACATGTTATGCGCAAACTTGTTAACATTAAAAAAATTAACATGTTTATCAATGAAATAGCCATACAACGTAGTCTTAAACGGACTGCATCCTTTCAGAATATCACTAATGGGCATTTCCACAGCACCAACTGGAAGATCTGCTTTCTTTTTAATTTTTGATATAAGGTTAGCAGCATTCAATTTCTTTCCACTCACTTTTTCAGCATATGAGACTTTGCCTTCACTCTTTTCTTCCACCAACACTTGCACAGGGGTAACAATCTCCTCCTTACCCTTTGTGTTACTAGCCTTCATTTCTTCCAACATATCTTCAGTTATGAGAAGCCCGCCGTTTTTATTATAACCTGTTTTTCTAATTTCTTCCTTTTCATCTATAATCATTTGACCCTCATACTTCTCTTCATCATCTTCAACATATTTGAATTTAAATTCACCCTCATTAGCAAGTTCTAAGTGATTAAACTTACTAGGAAAGTGAAAAATAATTTCATTACAAACTTGTTCAAGTTGTTGACTAACCAGATCATCAATTTCAATTTTCTTTTTGACTTTCTTTTCCTTTACCTGTGATCGCATAGAGCATATTTCTTGAAGATCCACAATCACAGGATTATTATTATTCGATATTGGAATTCCATCAGGAATGAAATTTAGCAATGTTTCTCCCACTTTTTGCAATCCATCCGAGGCTTCAAGATCAGAAGTTTTCTTCATGTCAACTGCCACAGGGAACAACGAAGCAGAAGATTTAAGGGGCACTCGGTTCTTCCCAATGTTGGCTTCAACCTGTTTTTTGATTTTGCTCGTGCACAACTTATGAATCACCTTCTCCTTCTTTTTTTGATTAAGCTCTTTCCATTTCATCAAAATATCGTTCCTATGGCTAACAGATGATAGCTTCTTGACATTATCAATGGATTCATCAAAAGAAGAATCAAACTCACCTTCCTTGTTATATTTTTTCTTAATAAACCGTAAGCCATGAACGAAGCCTTCCTTCTCATTCAAAGTTAGACTGTTCCAAAACACCATCATAGCTTCCTTCTCTCCTGGACTACAAAATTGCGTGATATCTTTTTCAAATTCGAGAACAGGGGAGCTCAAATCTTCAGTTGATACTTCTTCCTTCTTGACTGTAATGTAATTTACCAATGGAGTCATTAGAGGAGCCATAGCATCGACTTCAGAATCGCTAGAAGGCTTCACAATCTCGTTCCCGCTACTATCACTTTTATCCGCTGAAACTTCGCCAGTAAGCTCCGACGAGATTTTACGATCAATCGAAATTGCTTCCAATTCAAACTTATTAACGAGTGTAGTGACCGATTTAGCTTTCAAAGTATCATTCAATTGATTAGACTCAGAATCCAGAACGAGTTTAAGCTTATTTTTCAACTTCGCATTTTTTCCTTTTTTCCTCATTATTACGTCGGGTTCCAAATCAGGTGGAACACCCTCCATAGATCAATCGAACAGAATCCTTAGATCAAGCAGGAAATTACGAGCAAATTGAGCTCAAATTTGTTGCAAACGGTTGCCGGAAAAACGATCGGTGCCGGAAAACAGCTGGAAAACGGGAAGATCGCCAGAGAAGAGAGAGAAACAAAGAGAAAGAGGGTTTTGGGTTTAGGGTTTAGGGTTTAGGGTTTAGGGTTTAGGGTTTAGGGTTTTTTTTTTTTTTGGATAAAAGGGGAAGACCCCTTGGCAAATTTTATTGAAAAGAAAAAACAATACAAGGGAAGAGGGCAACCGCCTAAAAAACCTAACAACTAACCTAACAACAAAGCTACAAAACTAAAAAACTACACTAAAAGAACACAAGCATCAAACCCTATCTAAACAAACCAACCGATCCACTTCCATGTCCAACTCCAACACAAGGATTAAAACCAAATATAACTAACAAAGAAAAACACAATAAAATCAAAATTAACAACCTTCCAATTAACGAAATCTTCAAGGTCTTCAATCTTCATATAGCTTCCAATCTTCCTCCAAGTCAAACCCCTAAAGATGGCCTCATATTCAAACAAATAGTCCAAGGTTTGAATAATATTAGTCTTCCAATGCTTCCAAGGAACATCCAACTCAAGAGAATCATTGGCCAAATCATTCAAAACTACAATAGTTTGCAAATATCTCCACACGAAACTAAAACCGAAAATAGCAATTAACTTTGAACTTTGAACAATATTCTTCATGCAATTCTTCCCAATCTTCTCCACAAGATAATTGATAACCTTCTTTCCAATCTTCACTTTAGAATCCAATAAGCTCCAAAAGAGATTCTTCAAAACCCGAGAGAGTATGATGCTAAAACCATTATTTTCCAACAAATCCCAACATTTCCAAATCTTCTTCAAATTGTCTTCAACTTCTTTGTTGCCCAAACTAAGCCAATTACTCTTCAATAATTCTTCCAAAATAATAATCCAAGAATTCCGAAACTGCCCTTGGATAAAATCCCAACCTCTAGCAAATAAATATCTCATAAGCACAATTAAACCACAATCCTCAAGGTTACAAAAAACTACATTGCCAACTTTCTTCTTAAGAATCAACCCAAAAGATTGAAACCCGTCAATTCCTTTTTTAATGAGAGTATTCCAAAAATACCCCTGAAGGTAAATCCTTAAAAAATTAAGAATAAACCCTCCAAATTCCACATCAAAGGCAAAAAAACCAATGATAATCGGGATGGACCGATTAGCTTTAAAATTTTGGTAAAACCAAAGGGATTGTAAGGTCCCAAAGTGGTTGTTTTTATGAAAACAAGGGAAACAACCAACCCAATTGTGGTACAGTCTAAGGTTAACGTACCCAATCCAGTGTATTGCCGGGTAAATATCCCACCACTTGCTAATCGAACTAGCAGTGGCACCCACTAAAGTGGAGATTCCTAGTTGCCTAGGAAGAAATTTCCAACTAACGGGGATCAAACCCATTTGCTTTAAAAAATTGACCACTTCAAAGGAAAAGATTCCAATGAAATCTGGGATAAACCAGACAGCAATAAGCAAAAAAGGATCCATAAAGCTCCAAGTGTGGTTGTTTTTATGGTAACAAAGGAAACAACCAACCTGTAAGTGGTACAGTCTAAGGTTAACGTACCCAATCCCGTGTATTGCCGGGTGAATATCCCACCACTTGCTAATCGAACTAGCAGTGGCACCCACATAAGTGGAGAATCCTAGTTGCCTAGGATAAAAACACCAACTAATGGGGATCAAACCCAAATGCAATAAGAAATAATCCACTTCAAAGGAAAAAAATCCAATGAAATCCGGGATACACCGGATAGCAGTAGCCTTACACTTATGCCAAAAAATCATAAAGTAGTTGTTTTTATGGTTACAAGGGAAACAACCAACCCATTTGTGGTACAGTTTAAGGAGAACGTACCCAATCCCTGGTATTAACGGGTAATTATCCCACCACTTGCTAATCGAACTAGCAGTGGCACCCACCAAAGTGGAGACTCCAAGTTGCCAAGGAGAAAAACAACTTATAATGGGGATAAAACCCATTTGCAAAAATAAATCCACTTCAAAAGGAATAATCCTTAAGAAAATCGGGATAAAACCGATAAGCAAAACAATTTTTAAAGGAAAATTGTTAAACCCATATCTGTCAATTCCTTTAATCATCATAAAAATCTTGCTTTTTCTCACCAATCGGAATACCCCACTTCCTTTTAACAACATTATCAAATCCCGAAAAAACACCTTTAAGACCAATAAGCTTTAAACGGATTTCTTCAAAAACATTCAAGGCAATTTTCCTCTCTTCGGACTTTCCATTTCTAAACAACCTTCTATTTCTCTCTCTCCAAATGAAATACACAGAAGCAGCAAAGGAAATCTTAGATATGAAAACTTGAATGCTTTTCCCTTTCAACAGATCTTGAAACTCTTCAATTAAAGTATCCCATCCTTGAGAATTACTAGTGATTCCCACTTTATCTTTCACTAGGTTCCAGACAAGAGAAGAATACGAGCATTCAAAAAAGAGGTGATTGTGCGAGTCAGGTTGCATATTACAAAAAACACACTTGAGATTCTTGTTTTTATCCCAAAATCTCATTCTATCCTGGGTCATCAATCTCTCCTGGATAGCAAGCCATAAGATGAAGCTGAGTCTAGGAATACATTGTTTGAACCAAACCAAATGGGCCCAAGGAACCTTCTGACCGCAGAAATTTAAGTCCCTCCAAACTTGATGAATATCAAATTCCACCACTTGACCATCTCTTTTTCTCCATAAAGTTCTGTCGGCCACCAAAGGATCAAGAATCGGCAATTGATGATCTCTCAATTGAGGAATAAGAGTGATCCACTCAGACGGCCAAGACCAAGAATTGCCCACAATAACATCCTTGACTTTGTCAGTGATTCTGAATCCAGCTTTAGTAATATCTCTAGGAGAAAGAACATGCGAAAAAGCTCCCAGCTGGTGCCAATCATCATACCACATAAAAGAATTTGCCCCATTCCCGATCTTGGTAAAAAAATGATTTCTAAATTTGGTTCTCAATCTAATCAAATTCCTCCAGCTCCAACTTAGGTCCTGTTTTTCCTTAACATCCCAAAAACTTCTACCCTTGAGAACATGAATGTTTATCCATTTGACCCACAAGGAGTCAAAGTTAGATAAAATCATCCATATTCTTTTAGATAGAATAGCTTTGTTCCAAACTCTAAGATTTCTGAGACCCAACCCCCCATTCTCAACAGGTTTACAAATGGAAGACCATGAAACTTTAGCTCTTCCCTTCTTGGATTCATCACAGTCCCACAGAAAATTCTTCATCAGTTTTTCAATTTCCTTGGTTATAGAAGCTGGAATAAGCAAACAAGAAGCCCAATACACAGGAAGGGAGAATAAAACCGAAGAAATGAGCTGAAGTCTTCCCGCATAAGAGAGATATTTGTTTCTCCAATCGCCAATTCTACATCGGACTTTATCAACAAGTCTTTTGCAGTCCCGTATAAACAATCTAGTAGATATGAGAGGGATACCCAAATATCTCATTGGAAGTTTCCCTTCAACAAAGGGAAGAGTGTCAAGAATTTTCCTTTTAACATCAGCCTTGACGTTCCCAAAAAAAATATGGCTTTTAGAAAAATTAGGATGAAGGCCAGCAATTTTAGCAAATTCATCAAGGCTGTCTTTTATAACCCTGACCGAAGCTTTATTACCATGACAGAAGATCATTAGATCATCCGCAAAGCACAAGTGTGTGATTTTAAGCTGCTTGCACTTCCAATGATACTTGAACAGAGGCTCATTCCTTATTCTTCTTTGAAAAATCAAATTGAAACTTTCCATCACCAAGGTAAAAAGATACGGAGATAAAGGACAGCCCTGTCGGAGACCTCTTTTTCCATCAAAATAACCATGATAAGATCCATTCATACTAATCATGTATGAAGGAGAGCTAACACACTGCATGATCCATTTTATCATTGCCGGATGAAATCCAAAATGAAAGAGGATATTTTGAAGAAATGACCAATTCACCGTGTCATACGCTTTCTGGATATCAACTTTAAGGGCACATCTAGAATAACCTCGATCTCTGTGGTAACCCCTAACCAATTCTTGGGAAAGAAGGATATTGTCTGTAATGGATCTTCCCGGAATAAAGGCAGATTGGTTATCAACAACAATAGATCCTAAATGATTTCTTACTCTTCCAACAATGATCTTACTGATGCATTTGTAAATAACAGAACAACATGAAATAGGTCTAAAGTCACTCACTTTCCCAGGAGAATTAACTTTAGGGACTAAAGCAATGACAGTAGAATTTATCTCCTTGAGGATTTTCCCATTAGCAAAAAATTCCTTGACAGCTAAACAAAAATCCTCTCCAATAATAGTCCACATAGATTTGAAAAACTTAGCCGAATACCCATCCGAACCAGGAGCTTTATCATCCTCTATGTCAAAGAGGGCAACCTTAATTTCATCATTAGAAACAATCTTAACCATATCAACAGCATCACTAAGATCCAATTTATTAATGAAAAGAGAATCAGGCTGATAAATTTCGTCACAAGTCACCTCTTTTCCAAGAAAATCCTGAAAATAGTCAACAAACTCTTTATAAACAGCCTCCCCTTCCAGCCACTCTCCATGACAATTCATAACAGCTTCTATTCTGTTTTTATGCATTTTCCCTTTAACAATTCTGTGAAAAAATTTTGAATTGCTGTCACCCTCCTTTAGCCATTGAACTTTAGCTTTTTGCTTTAAGAAAATCTCTTCCTTATCATGAGCTTTTTTGAATTCTTCAAGAAAAATTGCCTCCAGATCGCGAAGATGAGAATTATACGGATCCATGTCCAATTCAACTTGAACCGCTTCCAGCTCTTTCCGGTAATGATTAACATTATCCGAAAAATGCCCCTGCATCTTTAAGAGTTTGCGAATTGGCTTTTTGAGACTTTTAAGCTTTTGCGTTAAAATAAACATTTTAACACCTTGAATATCAATGTTCCAGTGCCTTTCAACAATTAATTTCAGATCAGGACAGAGGGTAAGAACATTGGGGAATTTAAACGGAAGCACCTTAAATTTAGATCTTGAGGGAATTTTAATGATGACCGGACTATGATCAGAAATCCCGTAAGGAAGAAAATAAGCACAAATAGAAGGAAATTGATTCAGAAGTTTGCAATTGCCCATGACACGATCAAGTTTCTTCATAATTCCATTTAATCCTTTCGGCTTTTGATTCCAAGTGAAATTCAATCCATTACAATTAATATCTTGAATTTCAAGAGAATTAATGCAATCATGAAATTCCACCATCCCTTTAGTAAATTTGGAAGATCCAGCGGAACTTTCACAAGGATTAAGTGTGACATTAAAATCACCACCAATAATCCAAGGATCTTCATTGACAAAACTTTTATGATGCACAAGAGAAGACCACAAAGCTCTTCTATCAATGTACTTATTGGCAGCATAAACAATGGAACAAAAGACAAATTTGTTGTTTGAAGGAAACCAAACTTTACAATGAATAACTTGATCATTATGATCAATCAAGTTAACATCATTATGATCAATCAAGTTACAAATAGAAGTCCAAGCCACTTTCGCTCTTCCTTTTTTTGATTCATCATGATTCCATAAAAAAGATTTCATCAACTTTTCAATGTCCTTAATGATGCTGATCGGAATAAGCATGCTGGAAGCCCAGAACACAGGAAGCGACAAAAGGACCGAATTAATTAGCTGAAGTCTTCCCGCATAAGATAAAAATTTATTTCTCCAATCACCAATTCTTTTCCGCACTTTATCCACCAACCTGTTACAATCCCTAATAAAAAGTCTAGTGGAGATCAAAGGAAGGCCCAAATAGCGCATGGGCAATCTACCTTCCACAAAAGAAAGAGAATCAAGAATCTTCTTTTTAGCATTGGGCTTGACATTTCCAAATAAAATATGGCTTTTAGCAATGTTAGGAATAAGCCCAGCCACCCCCGCAAATTCATCCAGCGCTTCTTTAATCACTTTAACCGACGCAACATTGCCATGACAAAAGATCATCAAGTCATCCGCAAAACAAAGATGTGTGATTTTTTGCTTCTTACAACTCCAATGATACTTGAACAATTTCTCTTTTTGGATCTTTCTTTGGAGAATGAGATTGAAAGTTTCCATAACAAGTGTGAAGAGATAAGGAGACAACGGGCATCCTTGCCTAAGCCCACGCTTTCCTTCAAAATACCCATGAAAAGAGCCATTTATACTTAGCATGAAAGAAGGGGTAGTCACACAACTCATTATCCATTTGATCATGACGGGATGAAATCCAAAGAGGAAAAGGATATCTTGAAGAAAGGACCAGTTAACCGTATCATAAGCTTTTTGAATATCCACTTTCATGGCACAACGAGAAAACCCACGCTCACGATGGTATCCGCGAACTAATTCTTGAGATAACAAAATGTTATCTGTGATTGATCTGCCAGGGATGAAGGCCGATTGATTGCTAGAAACAATGAAGCTCAAATAATTTCTTATTCGTCCAACGATGATCTTGCTAATACATTTGTATATAACAGAACAACATGATATCGGCCTATAGTCACTAACTTTCCCAGGGGTATCAATCTTGGGAACTAAAGCTATCACAGTGGCATTTACTTCTTTAAGCAGTTTCCCCGTGCAGAAAAATTCCTTGACAGCTTGGCACATATCTTTCCCAACAACATCCCACATTGATTTGAAAATTTTAGCAGAATATCCATCTGGCCCCGGAGCTTTGTCATCTTCAATATCAAACAGGGCAATCTTTATTTCTTCATCCGTGACCACCTTAACCATTTCTGCAGCATGCATAAGATCAAGTTTCTTCGTGAAGAGAGAAAGGGGATTATCAATTTCAGCACAAGGAATTTCAGATCCCAAAAATTCCTTAAAATACTTAACAAAAACATTCGGCACTTCTTCTCCTTCTATCCAGTTACCTTCTTCATTCAGAACAGCCCGAATATTATTTCTGTTTATTTTCCCCTTGACAATTTTATGGAAAAATTTCGAATTGTTGTCACCCTCTTTTAACCAATTAACTTTCGCTTTTTGTTTTAAAAAACCTTCTTCTGCAGCATAAGCCCTGTTAAATTCATCAAGAAAGATAGCTTCCAAGTCCCTAAGATCAGGGTTAAAAGGGTCTTTATCAAGATCAATTTGGACAGCTTCAAGCTCTTTACGACATTGAACAACGTTCTCCGAGAGATGGCCTTGTTTTTTTAACAGCTTTCTAATCGGCTTTTTCAATAATTTGAGTTTTTGAACAAGTTGAAACATCTTCACTCCATGAACTTCTTGATTCCAATGAGCTTCAACCAATGGCTTTAATTCATTACAAAAGGTGAGAACATTCGGAAATTTGAAAGGGAGAACTTTAAACTTCAACTTCAACGGGATTTTAATAATCACAGGGCTGTGATCCGAGATGCCATAAGGGAGAAAGGAAGCATAAATGGAAGGGAAATCCTCAATTAATTTGCTGTTTCCCATAACTCGATCCAGCTTCTTCAAAATGCCACTATTTCCACGAGGTTTTTGGTTCCAAGTGAAATTCAACCCGTTGCTATTGATGTCTTGGAGATCAAGACTGTTAATGCACTCAAAAAAATCAACCATGCCTTTGGAAAATCTTGATGACCCTGCTGTACTTTCAGTCAAACTAAGAGTAACATTAAAGTCCCCTCCAATAACCCACGGATCATCTTTAACAAAAGCCTTTTGCTGCTTGATCGAATCCCATAAGATCTTCCTGTCGATATATTTATTTGCCGCATAAACAAAAGAACAAAAAACAGAATTATTATTGTTTGGAAAACTAATTTTGCAGTGCATAATTTGATCATTTTGATCAATCAAATTAACATCAAAGAGATTAGAATTCCACCCAACAATGATTCGAATGGTATTTCCAGAAATGCCCTTATTCGTCATCCATTTCCAGGAACCAAAAATCTTATCACACTTCCCTTTAAGTTTACTTATACTAACTTGCAGCTCAAGGATAGCAAGTAAACTCAAATTATTCCTTTTAATTAAACCAATTAACTCTTTTTGCTTAGGAGATTGGTTAAACCCCCTAATATTCCAAATTCCAAAGTTAGACGACATTGGAAACAGCTTCCATTTTGGTATCACACAAAGGGATACCTCCAATTACTTCCATTTGATCAACCGTATCTAGATAATCTAAATCAATATCATCTATTCCTTTTTTCGAAATCCCATATTGATTCTCCTCTTTCAATCCCATTAAAACATTGAATTTATTATTAGAAACAAACTCCATGTTGTCAACTTTTCTGATGCTCGAATTTTCCTTGTCAAAATTTGAGCTGATCTTAATATCCGGGCCAGTCTTTGGAATATATTTCTGAACATTTCCATCTCTTTTCCCCATCTCCACTTTTATATTAGATTTTTGGTTGTTTTTTTCCACTGAAATATTCCCCCCAATATTCTCTTTTTTCACAAAAAAATTGCTTTTGCTGCTTTGCCCCTGTTCTACTTTTACACCACCAAAATTCCCATTCTTGCTGTAATTATTCCCATTATACCCCTGAACTGCTTTTCCTTTATTCCATTGATTCCCCCCATTGTTGTTCCCATTTTTCGCACCATTATTCCCTTTCTGCCCTTGACTTCCAACATTAATACCGACCCCATTTTTGCCTTTTCCTTGATAATTCCCATTTTGCCCCTGACCCGGAATTTGGTTCTTTTTCCCTATATCCTCCTTGCCGTATCCTCCCACATTATTCCCTTTGCTTCTTTTACTTACAAGTTGAAATCCTTCATTATCTTCTTCCACTTTTTTTGTACTAGTAATAAGAACCTCCATTAAATCAATTTTTTTTCCATCCTTATTTTCCCCATCCCCTGTCACATTGCTGCTGTCCTTTACTTCTTTGGCTAGTAATATCCCACATTTAGAATCCGTGTGCCCATAAACCTTACAATGAGAGCACTTTGAAGGATTCCAAGCATATTCTATCTTGCATTTTGAGAGAATCCTTTCACCTGTTGTTAAATCCGATGAGTAAATAAGAACTTCATTAAGCCACTCTTTAGCTGCAAACATTTCAATTAATATTCTCATAAAAGCCGGTCTTCCCCAATGTTCTTGACATAATTTAGCTGTGTGGGCATCAACATCAAGAGGCTTTCCGATCTCCCAAGCTATATGGCTCAATCCAGTTCTGTTCCAATACTCCAAGGGCACATTATATATCTTCACCCAAACAGGAATTTTATCATGTTGGTCTTTGACTGAACTAACTCCTGTGGTCCATCTGCGAATAATTAAAGCACTATCAAAAATCATCCATACTCCCCCTTCCAGCACCGAAAGGAGACCTTGTTCTGAGCTGAATCTGAAAAAATAAATCCCTTCATCGTTCACCATCACCTCTTCCAAGCCATATTTCCTCCACATATTGTGAGCAAACTTATTGACATTGAAAAAGTTAATATGTTTATCAATAAAATATCCATACAACGTTGTTTTAAAGGGGCTGCAGCCTTTAAGAATGTCACTTATAGGCATTTCCACAACACCATCAGGCAGCTCAGCATTCTTTTTGACTTTAGAAATAAGATTTGCTGCATTCATTTTTTTCCCACTCACTTTTTCAGCATATGAAACTTTTCCTTCAATTTTTTCTTCCACAACATTTTGCACAGGGGAAATCTTCTCTTCTTTATCCTTAATATTACTAGTCTTCACTTCTTCCAACATATCCTCAGTTATAAGAAGCCCACCGTTTGTATTATAACCTCCTTTTCTGATCTCTTCCTTATCATCTATATTCATTTGGCCCTCACTTTCCTCTTCATCAGCATCAACATATTTGTATTTGAATTCACCCTCATTAGCAAGTTCTAAGTGATTAAACTTACTAGGAAAATGATATATAATTTCATTACATACTTGTGCAAGCTGTTGACTGACCGTTTCATCTATTTCAATCTTCTTTTTTACCTTCTTTTCCTTGACCTGAGATCGCATAGAACATATGTCTTGAAGATCGATAATCACAGGATTGTTGTTGTTCGAAATTGGAATTCCTTCCGGTATTAGATTCAACACAGTTTCACCCACTTTCTGCAATCCATCCGAGGCTTCAAACTCAGTTGTCTTCTTCATTCCAATAGCTGCAGGAAACAGGGAAGCAGAAGTTTTGAATGGCACACGGTTCTTCCCTAAATTGGCTTCCACCTGTTTTCTAATTTTGCTCGTACACAGCTTATGAATCACCTTTTCTTTCTTCTTTTGATTAAGCTCTTTCCAGTTCATCAGTATATCATTCTGTTGGCTAACAGATGATAGCTTCTTAACATTATCAATAGAGTCATCAAGAGAGGAATCAAACTCACCTTCCTTGTTATATTTTTTCTTGATAAACCTTAAGCCATGAACAAATCCTTCCTTCTCGCTCAAAGTAAGGCCGTTCCAGAACACCATCATGGCTTCCTTTTCTCCTGGACTACAAAATTGCGTGATGTCCTTTTCAAATTCGAAAACAGGGGAGCTCGAATCATCAATTGAAACTTCTTCCTTCTTGATCGTAATGTAATTTACCAACGGAGCCATTAAAGGAGCCATAGCATCAACTTCGGAACCTGTTGACAACTTTGCAATCTCATTCTCGCTAGTATCAATTTTGCCAGCTGAAACTTCGACTTTAAGCTCCACTGAATTTTTCCTTTCAATCAAATTAGCTTCAGATTCGAATTTGTTAACAAGTGTAGTGACCGATTTATCTTTCAATGGAACATTCAATTGATTGGGTTCATTATCCAGAACGAATTTGAGCTTATTTTTCAACTTCGCATTTTTTCCTTTTTTTCTCATTATTACATCAGGTTCCAAATCAGGTGGAACACCCTCCATAGATCGATCAAATAGTATCCTTAGATTAAGCGGGAGAAGAGGAACAAATTGATATCAGGATTGTTGCAAACGGATGCCGAAAAAACGAACGGTGCCGGAAAAACGGTTGGAAAACGAGGGAATCGCCAGAGAAGAGAGAGAAACAAAGAGAGAGGGGTTTAGGGTTTGGGTTTAGGGTTTAGGGTTTAGGGTTTAGGGTTTTTTTTTTTTTTTTTTTTTGGGAAAGAGGCCGAAGCCCCGGCAAAGATTATATAAACACGAAAAAAAGAAACAAGAGTTATGTCATTTTTGGACAAACCCCAAAAATGACCCCAAACAAGACCAAAATCCAAATATCTCTAAGATACCAAAACCAAATGCTAACCCTAATGACAATATAAACAAAGAAAGTACAAGTTATTTTATTCCAACTCCACAACCCGGAGTGGTCTTCAATTTCCCGCTCGTACTCGAAGTGAACACTCCATTTCTTCTTCCAATCTTCAAAAATGCCATCTCTATACATGCTCCTTATCCAAGTGTCAATAACAACACTAGTCCTATGGACACCAATATCCCAAAATCTCCACACAAAAATGCACGTAGTTTCAACCTTCCCATTGCCAAAAGACTCCATAATAGCAATCTTCTTTCTCCTCTCCACCCTTGTATCTTTATTATCTTTTATGTACCTCAAAAGTATGTTGCTATAACAAGCCAAATTATCATCTTCTCTATTATCTTTATTCACAATCTTCCTATTCTTTTCCTCTTCAACCGACCTTCTTTGATTATAACGCTTTTCCAACATTCTATTCCAATTGTCTTCATCAACCATCATCACCCAAGCTCTTTTAACACAAATCCCATCTCTTGATTTTTTATGGATAAAATCATAAAACCCACCCACTAAATTACTTGGAATTGAACCAAGATTTTTGAACTTTTTACGGAAAAAGTTAGAAAACCAAACTATAATTTCCGGATTTGAACCGGATAAATTCATCCTTTTTTGGAAAAAAAGGGCCAACCACATGACTAAACTACTTGGAATTGAACCAAGATTTAAGTTCTTTTTATGGAAAAAGAAGAAAAACCAACCAACTAAATAGTCCGGAATTGAACCGGTAAAAAACATCCATTTTTGGAAAAACGGGGCAAACCACATGACTATAGTACTTGGACTTGAACCAAGATTTAGATTCTTTTTATGGAAAAAGAGGGAAAACCTTCCAATTAAAGTTTCCAGATTTGAACCGGACAAAGAGTGACATTTTGTTACCCAAAAAATGCCAAAAAAATGGTGGTACAGTCTAAGGATGACGTACCCAAGCCTGGTTATTGACGGGTGAATATCCCACCACTTACTGATCGAACCAGTAGTGGCACCCACAATTGTGGAGAATCCTAAATTAATAGGATTAAAAACACAACTTATGGGGATAAAACCCATATGCACTTTTTTGAATTCCACTTCACAAGAAAAAATTCTTATGAAACTCGGGATCAAACCGAGATGCAAATCATTTTTAAGGGAAAAAATGAAAAAACTCCCATTTCCCTCAAATCCTTGGTAGTAAACACCGTGTTTCCACGGCGGGATTTCACAATAGATGGATATAAAATCCATATATTGATGAAAAGTGACCACATCATAAGGTATGAACCAAATGATACTCGGGATTAAACCGAGTTGCAATCCAATTTTAAGGGAAAAATTGGTAAAAATCCCATATCCATCAATTCTTTTATAAAATATTGAATATGAACTCCTTCTAAAACAAAAGAATTCATCCATATCCAATAGTTCCTTCTTTGTATCTTTATTTCCAAATTCCAAAGGATCATCATGTAATGAGCAAAAATGAATCTCTTCTCATAATTTTGACCAAAATACCCCTGCCTCTTCAAACGAACATGAACAGAATTTTTACTCCCAGAAAATTTATTCCAGCCAATTTGCAGATTCATCCAACCACCTTTCAGATCATTCCAGCACCATAATTCCTCATTAATATGAAAATTCCCAAATTGCCCTCGCTTGTTATTTATCTTATTTGAATCCAAAACCTGCTGAACATCCCTCCGCCCATTTCCATTATCAACATTCAAATTTTTATCAAAAAACCCACCCTTCTTATTCCCATTCACTGTGTCCTTCCTCCAAATTTCTATCATCCCCAAGCAATTCCCGATTGGATCATCCATATTACTTTTTCCCCAATATTGACCACGATACCCTTTAATCCAAATTCTTAAAAAAAACACTTTTTTTAAGAGTCTTCCATTTATTCTCTCCCCCACATTTATCTCGAACAGGACAATAAGACCAGAAAATTTTAAAATTCCCACAATACCCCTCAATCCCAATATGCCGCTGTTTCTTGTTTTTCCTTTCTCTGTACCAACAATCGCTAAAATATAAGATCATACTTCTCACAAACAGAACAAAATTATCACCCACAACACAAATTGTTCCACTCTCTTCTTTATTAAACCACACTCCAATCAGCCCCTGAATAAAAGAACCGCACCTGCAATTTTTATTATCCGAATCCAGCTTCTTCCAATCCCCTGTATCATAGTTATAGCCGATACCAATAAAACCAAGATAGTCGATAATAATTCCTTCAATTTATTACAATTCCAGCTTTGACCATAATACCCTTTAAATGTCTTATTTGAATTCCCGCTTTTATTAACATTCTTCCTTATATTCACAATCCAAGCTTCATCAAAGCTCAAATCCCACCAATTCCATGCTAGCCACTCTGACAATTCTTCATACAACCTGCTCTTCAAATTAACTTCGATTTTCATGAAAATAATCTTTGTTTTTAACAGGAACATTCCATTCCTTGCACACCTCTTCATCAAGCCCAAGATATCCCAGATTAAGGCTAAATATTTTCGTTCTGATATCTTCTGTGATTATCTTGACAACAGTTTCCACTGAATTGCTCGGTTTCCCAAACAATCTTTTGTTTCTTTCATTCCAGATATGATAAATGGAAGCCGCCAAAGCAATTTTCCTAACAAAATTATTATGCTTTTCTTTTTTAAAGAATGTTGGAGTTCTTTGATGATATCGAACCAGTTTCCAGATTTATGATTCAAATTCACTTTATTTTTCATCAAGTCCCAAACTTCCTTTGTAAACTTACAGTTAAAAAATAGATGGGTATGTGAATCTAATTGAGAATTGCAGAAAACACAACTGAAATCGTTAGCTTCATTCCATCTCTTCATTCTATCATGCGTTCTTAGTCTTCCCAGGATAGCAAGCCATAGGATAAAACAGTGACTTGGAATTCTATTTTGGAACCAAACTAAATCATACCATTCAACAATTGTCTCACGGCACATAATAGAAGAAAAGACCTGATTAACCGCAAAAGGAACAATTTTTCCTTTGTAATTAACCCAAAGCACTTCATCTTTTTTCTCTCTGATGATCCTGGGCACATTAAAATCACCCAATTGAGGAATCATTTCAATCCATTCAGAAGGCCAATTCCAATTTTCATCAACAATAACATCACCTACTTTGTCCCTTATGTTATATCCAGCATTTGTAATTTCCCTGGGAGATAAAACATAGCACAAAGGCCCCAATTGATGCCAATTATCGTACCACATGCTAGTTCCTTTTCCATTTCCAATTCGAGAATAGAAAAAATCTCTTAAAAAAGGCCGAATCTTTAGAAGATTTCTCCAACTCCAGCTCATTCTGTCTTTTGGACCAACATCCCAAAAGCTTCTTCCATCAAGCAAATAACAATTAACCCATTTCACCCACAGAGAATTTTGCCCACTAATAAGCTTCCAAATTCTACTCGATAGAAGAGCAATATTCCAATCTTTAAGATTTTCAGCCCAAGCCCTCCATAATTCTTTGGCTTACATATTTTATTCCATGACACCTTGGCAACTCCTTTACAATTCTGCCCACTATTCCAAAGAAACTCCCTCATTATTTTCCCAATTTCTTTATTTATGACTTTTGGTAATAAAACCACTGAAGCCCAATAGACAGGAATTGAAGCAAGAACAGCACTTATTAGTTGAAGTCTTCCAGCATAAGACAAGGATTTGTTTTTCCAGTCATTAACTCTCTTCTTGACTTTATCTATAAGACCCTTACAATCTCTAATAAAAAGCTTAGTAGAAATCAACGGAATCCCAAGATATTTCATAGGCAGTTTACCTTCAACAAAAGGCAGAATCCTCAAGATTTTCCTTTTAAATTGCACCTTAACATTCCCAAAAAAGATGTGGCTTTTGGACAGATTCGGAACAAGGCCAGCCGAATTAGCAAATTCATCCATCGTCTTCTTGATCACTTTTATAGATTCAGAATTTCCGTGACAAAAAACCATCAGGTCATCAGCAAAACATAAATGGGTAAGCTCCTGTTCTTTACATCTCCAATGGTATTTAAAATCACTACATTCCTTTATTCTCCTTTTAAGCATTAAATTAAACACCTCCATAACAAGTGTGAAGAGGTAAGGAGATAAAGGGCAACCTTGTCTGAGGCCTCTCTTTCCTTGGAAAAACCCATGAAAACTTCCATTTATATTGATCATAAAAGAGGAAGTAGTAACACAATTCATAATCCAAGTTATCATAAATTCATGAAATCCAAACTCTTTCAATATATTCCGTAAAAAACACCAATTAACTGTATCATACGCTTTTTGAATATCAACTTTCATAGCACACCTAGCAAAGCCCCTATTAATATGATACCCTCTGACAAGTTCTTGAGATAACAAAATATTATCCAATATTGAACGCCCTGGAATAAAAGCCGACTGATTATCCGAAACCAAGCATCCAAGATGATCTCTAATGCGGTTGACAATAACTTTGCTAATGCATTTATAGATCACATTGCAACAGGATATTGGCCGATAGTCCCCAACCTTGCCTGGTGTCTGAACTTTAGGAACTAACGCAATAACAGTAGCATTAACTTCCTTCAATATCTTTTTTGAGATAAAAAATTCTTTAACAGCAAAGCAAAAATCACTCCCCACTATCATCCAAGCTTTCTTAAAGAATTTAGAAGAAAAACCATCAGGGCCAGGCGCTTTGTCATCATCAATATCAAAGAGGGCAGCCTTAATTTCCTCATCAGTAACATCTTTGATCATATCCACAGCTTGTTGATGTCAAGTTTCCTGAAATCAAGATCTTCCGGTCTAATAATGGGAACAACACCATGTTCACTCCAAGAAATTCACCAAAATAATCCACAATGACCTTAAAAGCTTCATCCCCTTCCTTCCAATTTCCATTTCCATCAAGGATTGTTTCAATTCTGTTTCTGTTTATTTTACCCTTCACAACCTTATGAAAGTAAGCAGAATTAGAATCTCCCTCCTTAAGCCAATGCACTTTAGCTCTTTGTTTTAAATAACTCTCCTCTTCCCTGCTAGCATTCAAGAAAGATTGCAGGTATATTCCTTCTTCAAATCTCAGCTCTTCATTGCATGGGTCCAAATCAAGACTTTCCTGGACCCTACATAATTCTTCTCTGCATTTAGAAACTTTCTCAGCAAAATTGCCATGACTAGTTAACAGTTTCCTGAGAGGTTTCTTTAAAAGCTTTAATTTCTGACAAAGCCTAAACATACCAAATCCTTCAACATCCGTCTTCCAAACACTTTCAACAATGGGCAGAAAATTATCCAGCAGCACAAGAGAATTAACAAACTTGAACGGTCTGACCCTGAACTTTCTTTTAATTGGGAATTTGATAATCATAGGGCTATGATCTGAAATCCGATAAGGCTGAAAGTTAGCAAACACATTCGGAAAATCTTCAATCAGTTTATGGTTCCCAAGCACACGATCAAGTTTTTTCAAAGCCCCAAAAGCCCCACGTGGTCTTTGATTCCATGTGTAGTGCAATCCATTACTATTTATATCTTGGACTTCAATAGAATTAATGCACTCATTAAATTCTACCATACCCCTCGAGATTTTAGAATGACCAGCCATCGTATCCACAAGTTCCCTGGTAACATTAAAATCTCCAGCAATCAACCATGGTTGACCAGCAACCAAATTATAATGCTTTCCCAATGAATCCCAAAGTTTTCTTCTGTCTATATAATAATTGCAGCCATAAACAAAAGAACAAAACAACCTCTTATTCTCCTTGATAAATATGACTTGACAATGCATCACTTGACTATTAGCATCCAAAGGCATGACAATAACTTCATTTGGGTCCCATCCAATTATAATGCGAGTGCCTTTAGGGCTCATGTCTTGATTCGAAATCCACATCCAGCTCCCAAAAACATTATTACAAGTCGCTTGTAACTTATTAAATCTCAACTGAGATTCAAGAATAGCAAACAACGACAACTTATTACTTCTTATCACATTTTTTATTTCTTCCTGTTTTGGTCTTAAATTCGAACCCCTCACGTTCCAACACCCTATATTCATCATCATTAATCACCAATTTTATTTCGGTGCTTATCTCCTGGCCACCTCCAGTTAAAATCTCCGAATCCATCTCATCAAGATAAGACATATCTCTTAAACCCAAATCAGCAAGAACATCAAATGGGTTTTGTGTTGTAATTTCATCTTGATCAATTTTTCCTGACGTAGAACCTAAATTATCAAAATTAGAACTCACTTTTAACTCCACTTGCTTCTTAGGAACATACACTTTTTTCTGATTTTCTTCTCTTTTCCCCTGCATTCCATCTTTTTTAGCATTAAAGTTTTCAATTACATTCTTCACTCTTGTTCCTAATTTCTCTTTTGGAATGAACACCCCTGTCCCATTCTTTCTCCCACTTTTATCATCTTTTGACTGAAATACCCCTTTCTCTTTCCCATCTTTTTTTAGATTACCCACAGCAAATTTCGAGAAATTACCCCCATTCTTCCGATTTTCTGCCCCTTCATTGCTTCGATCTTCATTTTGGCCTCCTTTTTATTTTCTTGTTCTTTAATTTTTTTGCTTATTTCCATTCCTTGATTACCCTCATCCTTAAGACTTTCATCATTATTGCTAACAACCATTCCATCAAAAACAGGCTTGGTGCTTTTCTCCAAAGATTTTATTAAATCCACCTTCCCTTCTTCATTAATAACCACTCCGGTATTGAATTTCTGCCCTTTATTGTTTTTCTTTGTTACTAATATGAACCCATCATCATCCACTTTCTCTTTTCTCTCCTTTTCTTCTCTGTCAACAGCAACATCAGTAACATCATTATTCTTTTTTCCATTTAGAATCCCACAATTGTTATTTTTATGCCCGTAAATTTTGCAATGACTACAAATATCAGGTCTCCATGCATACTCTATCCTGCACTTTGATTCAACTTTCTCTCCTGTCCCAAAATCTATTGATACAACACTTAATTCTTTCATCCATTCCGATTCTGCTGACATTTCCACAAGAAATCGCATGAAAGCTGGCCTTCCCCAGTGCTCATTACACATTTTTTGAGTGATTTTATCCATAGCAATTGGTTTCCCAATCTCATTTGCAATCAACGTAATTCCTTTGCTGTTCCAATACTCCAAAGGAACATTAAACACTTTAACCCATACAGGAACTGAATTAATTTGCGGTTTACTCAAAACTAGACCTGGCCTCCATCTTTGAACAAACATTGGGACATTGTTAATCAACCATGGACCTCCCTCCAGCACACTCATCATTCCTTCTTTTGAATCAAACTTGAAGAAAAAAAATCCCTCATCATTCACCATTATATCCTTCAGCCCATACATCTTCCACATCTTAAAAGAAAAATGATTAACTGTTGGGAAAGCAAGCTTTTTCCCCACAAAAAATCCATACAAAGTAGCATGATAAGGAGCACCCCCAACATTAAATCTGCATAAGGTAACTCAACTTTCCCACTAGGTTTCCCATCAACTTTTGGAATAACTTTGATATTAAGATCCACCACATTATTTGTTGATTCAACCATACAAGCATAAGATTTTTTATTGAACTCATTAACCAACTTAGTTGCAGGGGAGAGGACAGGTTTCGAAAAATCCATATTCAAGAAATTAGCTCCCTGTTCTTTCTTCATATTATTACCATAACCAACTTCCAAATTCCCATTCTCATTAATATAATCTTTCATATCTTCATCATTACAATTAGTATTACAACTAATTGAGTCAATAGGATTAGCATTAAAGACCACCGGAATACCTGAATTAACTGAAGCAACTTGCGAAACAGGAAACTTTCCCAAAATGCCCTTCCCTTCATTTGTTTCAATTACTGGACCAGGACCTGAAGAAGACGAACCAGGGCCTGAAGCATACGAACCCATCTTCATTAATTCCGAGAAAATGAAGTCCTTAGTAATCTTCGGCTCATCAACCAAAATGCCTTTGTCATTTTTTGTTCCAGCTGAAATTCTATTGTTCGACCCTGCTACAGTTCCAGCATCCATTCCCATGTTCGCTTGAATAACAGGAGACGAAGGAGATGATCCACCCACCAAATTCTTAGAAGAATTATATCCTTAACCATATCTGAGGTTACCTGGAGCAACACAAATCCTTTTTCTTCTTCCAATTTTTTCTGATTAGCGATCACCTTATCAAATGCCTCCAACTCCGATTTTATAAATTGCGGATCTATATTTTCTTTCCCATAATTTGATTTTATTATTTCACGTACTCCAGCTCGAAGAACTTCTTTCGATCCATCAGCAATAGATTTCGCATTCAGATACTTCTTTTCTTCCCTTAACCGATTAATTTTAGCTTCCATTTTTTCTTTTGATCGTAATGGTTTAATCATTGAATACGGAGAAAATTCCTTGTGCATAGCTCTTCTTCCTCTTCGTTTAGCTCCAACATCAGCTTCCAGATCATCTTCATATAGATTTTTGTTAGCTGGATCAGGTGGATCTTTATAATTCATGCCAAACATACTTCCAATTTTCCAGAACATCCGATCACCAATCGTATAGACAATTGGAATTGATTTTAGAGTAAATTCAATCAATGATGATGAAATTCCGGCACCGGCAAGAGATCCGATCACCAGAATCCCAACCAAGCCACTCACCAAAACTGGAAGACCGAGAGAGAAAATCCTAGAGAGAGAAAGTTAGAGAGAGAAAAAATTTTAGCAAATGAGGGTTTGGGTTTAGGGTTTAGGGTTTAGGGTTAGGGTTTAGGGTTTAGGGTTTAGGGTTTAGGGTTTAGGGTTTAGGGTTTAGGGTTAAGGGTTAGGGTTTAGGGTTTAGGGTTTAGGGTTTAGGGTTTAGGGTTTAGGGTTTAGGGTTTAGGGTTTAGGGTTTAGGGTTTAGGGTTTAGGGTTTAGGGTTTAGGGTTTAGGGTTTAGGGTTTAGGGTTTAGGGTTTAGGGTTTAGGGTTTTTTTTTTTTTTTTGGGAAGAGGCCGAAGCCCCGGCAAAGATTTTATAAAACACGAAAAAAAGAACAAGAGTTATGTCATTTTTGGACAAACCCCAAAAATGACCCCAAACAAGACCAAAATCCAAATATCTCTAAGATACCAAAACCAAATGCTCACCCTAATGACTATATAAACATAGAAAGTACAAATTATTCTATTCCAACTCCACAACCCGGAGTGGTCTTCAATTTGCCGCTCATACTCGAAGTGAAAACTCCATTTCTTCTTCCAATCTTCAAAAATGCCATTTCTATAAATGCTCCTTATCCAAGTGTCAATAGCAACACTAGTCCTATGAACACCAATATCCCAAATTCTCCACACAAAAATGCACATAGTTTCAACCTTCCCATTGCCAAAAGACTCCATAATAGCAATCTTCTTTCTCCTCTCCACTCTCGTATCTTTATTATCTTTTATGTACCTCAAAAGTATGTTGCTATAAAAAGCCAAAATATCATCTTCTCTATTATATTTATTCACACTCTTCCTATTCTTGTTCTCTTCAACCGACCTTCTTTGATTATAACGTTTTTCCAACATTCCATTCCAATTGTCATCATCAATCATCATCATCCACAATCTTTTAACACAAATCCCGTCTCTTGATTTTTTATGGATAAAATCATAAAACCCACCCACTAAATTACTTGGAATTGAACCAAGATTTTTGAACTTTTTACGGAAAAAGTTTAGAAAACCAAACTATAATTTCCGGATTTGAACCGGACAACTTCATCCTTTTTTGGAAAAAAGGGGCCAACCACATGACTAAACTACTTGGAATTGAACCAAGATTTAAGTTCTTTTTATGGAAAAAGAAGAAAAACCAACCAACTAAATAGTCCGGATTTGAACCGGTAAAAAACATCCATTTTTGGAAAAATGGGGCAAACCACATGACTATACTACTTGGACTTGAACCAAGATTTTTATTCTTTTTATGGAAAAAGAGGGAAAACCAACCAACTAAAGTTTCCAGATTTGAACCAGACAAAGAGTGACATTTTGTTACCCAAAAAATGCCAAAAAATTGGTGGTACAGTCTAAGGATGACGTACCCAAGCCTGGTTATTGACGGTGAATATCCCACCACTTACTGATCGAACCAGTAGTGGCACCACAATTGTGGAGAATCCTAAATTAATAGGATTAAAAACACAACTTATGGGGATAAAACCCATATGCACTTTTTTGAATTCCACTTCACAAGAAAAAAATCTTATGAAACTCGGGATCAAACCGAGATGCAAATCATTTTTAAGGGAAAAATGAAAAAACTCCCATTTCCGTCAAATCCTTGGTAGTAAACACCGTGTTTCCAAAGCGGAGTTTCACAATAAATGGAAATAAATTCCATATAATAGTGAAAATTAATTACATCATAAGGTATGAACCAAATGATACTCGGGATTAAACCGAGTTGCAATCCAATTTTAAGGGAAAAATTGGTAAAAATCCCATATCCGTCAATTCTTTTATAAAAATATTGAATATGAACTCCTTCTAAAACAAAAGAATTCATCCATATCCAATAGTTCCTTCTTTGTATCTTTATTTCCAAATTCCAAAGGATCATCATGTAATGAGCAAAAATGAATCTCTTCTCATAATTTTGACCAAAATACCCCTGCCTCTTCAAACGAACATGAACAGAATTTTTACTCCCAGAAAATTTATTCCAGCCAATTTGCAGATTCATCCAACCACCTTTCAGATCATTCCAGCACCATAATTCCTCATTAATATGAAAATTCCCAAATTGCCCTCGCTTGTTATTTATCTTATTTGAATCCAAAACCTGCTGAACATCCCTCCGCCCATTTCCATTATCAACATTCAAATTTTTATCAAAAACCCACCCTTCTTATTCCCATTCACTGTGTCCTTCCTCCAAATTTCTATCATCCCCCAAGCAATTCCCGATTGGATCATCCATATTAATTTTTCCCCAATATTGACCACGATACCCTTTAATCCAAATTCTTAAAAAAACACTTTTTTTAAGAGTCTTCCATTTATTCTCTCCCCCACATTTATCTCGAACAGGACAATAAGACCAGAAAATTTTAAAATTCCCACAATACCCTCAATCCCAATATGCCGCTGTTTCTTGTTTTTCCTTTCTCTGTACCAACAATCGCTAAAATATAAGATCATACTTCTCACAAACAGAACAAAATTATCACCCACAACACAAATTGTTCACTCTCTTCTTTATTAAACCACACTCCAATCAGCCCCTGAATAAAAGAACCGCACCTGCAATTTTTATTATCCGAA